GTGTGACATAATTTGGCTGACAAATCTAAAGACTGCTCAGCTATCAACCCTCCTTGAGGCCGTGTCTAAATATTCTAGTATGGGCCTTGCAGTGGAGCAGGGCCAGCTCTTACATCAGCACTTAGTCCAGGGAATACACCTCAAAGAGGAGGGATCAGCTGGGGTAAAAACACCAAAGAGATCCATACAGAAGATGCTGAACAGCTTGGCTTTGATGCAGCTTGTTACTTGCTTCAGTGGCTGAACATAGCCTTGTGTGTTAATACGAGCTACAACTAAGAGTTCTTGCCTTTTAAATTATTCTGCTCAATAAGAGTTACTAAAGGTTGGAGAGTAGACCCATACCCACAGGAAAGAGCTATTTCCAGCCGTGACAGAGTTCAACTTAAGGACTTGCAGTATTAATCCTTCTTTTTTCCAGCTGGTGTGGTGCTAATGGCATACACATAAAGCCTACCCCTAGGCCACTTTGGGTTAAGTGCGTGTGTATGTTTACCACATGTATATTTTATTCTGTTGCGGGTGATATTTGTGCCTTTCTGTGAGGCCTGGGAGCAGATTGGTCTTAAGAGCAGGTCAGGTCACCATGCAGCAATGAACTTTGGAGGCTAGGTCACTCTGCAAATCACTGATGCTCACATTTACATACATGCAAAAGTCTAAAAAATTAGTCCTTGAAATTTGAATGGTTACTGCAACATGTACAGTACTGTGAAAAGGTCTGAGACCATCATTCATTTATTTAATTTCCAGTCAAAAGGCCATTTTATATGACACATTGGTTTTACAGGAGATGTTTCTGAAGAGATTCAATATAACATCCACTTGCATAAGGAAGACTAAATTAAAAGATAAATAAGCGAAAAAATAAGATTTTCCAAAACAGGAGTTCAAAAAATTATGAAAAGATACAAAAGAAAATGGGTCTCATAACAACCGCGCAAGACCTGGTAGTCCACCAAAAAAGTCACCATCAGATAAACAGTGCTTAAAGCTTTCATCTTTGAGAGAGAGGAGAAAACCAAGCCCCACTCTTGCTTTAGGTCTGAAAAAATCCACAGATGTTTCTGTCCATCCTTCCACTGTGAGAAGACAACTCAACACTATGGGTCTGAAAGGATGTGTAGCTGTCAGGAAGCCCTCAGAAAACGAAACAAAAAAGAAGAAAGTTTGAAGAAGCTGCTGATGTTCTCTGAACAATGGACTGGCCACCCCAAACCTCAACACCACTAACTGTCTTCGAAATTACTTGAATCGCGGGAAGCAGAAAATGCAACCAACTTCTACGACTGAACTTATATAAAAAATATACTCGGATTTCTTTCAAAAACTGAAAGTCTCCTGAAAAAAGTGGAAGTTGTAAGAAAGGTAGGTTATTTTTCCTGACATTGAAAAACAACTTGTACATAGTTATTTTGACTGGAAATAAATGAAGGGTAGTCTCTGGCTTGTGCACAGTATTGTACATGCATTTAAAAAAACACAGAAAACACTGGACACAGTGTCAGCTAATCACAAGAAACTCTTAAAAGCTTTAAGCACTCTGGTAGCACTTCACATCAGATGCCACAAAAATCCTCATTCAAGCCAAGTGAACGCCAAGTTACCAGGCAACAGAAAACAGTCCCTCCTACACAGCATCTCTGTGCACGGCCCTTACCTCCACAAGTGCACAGCTGATGATTTCATCCTGATTGCAGAGTCCTGCCCCCGTGCTGCAGAAACCAGGGTTACTGCAGTTTATTGACCGACAGTAACCGGCTGAGCTGTTAGCGCAGATCAGGGCCACGGCCATCGCTGCAGCTAGATCTCGCTTTCCACTAAGTATGGATTACAAAGATTTGTTGGACAGCTCACAGGCCCCGGATTCAGTTGCAGTCAGTCAGGGATGAGAGAACAAGTGAAAGGTGCCTGTCTTTGACTTTTTTGGACCCAGAAAAGAGAAATGCAATAACTCATCCTATATGTGGTAATATTTTTCCACATATTAAGTTAGGTTCATTACTTTCAATGTAGGTTCTGTGATTATACAACAGTATAGTGACGGACCTGTGAATTGAAATTCATAAACAGACTCTAGATGCAGGAATCTATAGATATTAACCCGAAAAACACCAATGCTGTCGCTGAAAAAGTGATATATTGAATTGGAACTGACTGAAATGTATGTCATTTCCAGATGAGTAAACTTCCATCCACACACTTTTGTATTCAGTTCACTTTCATTTGTCAATATCAGTGTTGAAATAATATATTTTCTTTTATATTTTTTTAAATAACATACTTTTTTTCCTCCAACATGTTAAACTAAACATAAATAGAAACTGTGCACAAATATGCAGAAAACCGCCATATTTAATTTCACTCTCTATAGAGGATGTGCTCAATTTTTTTCACTAGGAAACAACTGTATTGCATTTGCTCAGTATGTGCCCAGTTTTTGACCCCTTGAACTGCAAGCGCCTTCTAACTTACATACTGAACAATTTATAGTTAAGATATAATCTGACGATTAATAACTGAACAATAAATGTGCAGTTTAAGGAGCTAAATTGTTTTTGTTAGTTAATATGCTTCTATCATCATGTCTCATTGTAAAAGTCTGTCTCCAGCTAATAGGACATGCTTGTTGTTGAGGGTAAGGGGTCCTATTTCTCTGGCCTGCGTGTAGCTAAAGGCTTTATTCACTGTGACCTCTATAGTGTGTAAGCCTACTCCAGCCACACAATGCAACAGGATCAAACCGGTCCTCTGACCTATGTGCATCCACTGCAGCATCATGCTAATTGCTACTACTCCTGGCCATTTTCTGACAACGTTCACTACTCTGTGGAAGGCCGCTGGTTTCCAGCCCAAAACCACATCTCTGCAGCTGCATGCCTCTGCAGCATGTCATTACCCTTTATGAAGGGAACGTTGGAAAAAAAATAAATAAATAGAAAAAAACGATAGCCATGTATGAGAGGTGCGGAACAGTCAGCTTGTTTTGTGTGGTGAGCCAGCCAATCACAGAAAAGCACTCATGAATGTTTCATGGTGTGCTCATGAATAATATGACTAACACAAATACATATGCTTTAGGACATGAACCACAGCTGGACTTCAGGAACAAAAGACATTCAAACATGGAGCACGTAGGTCTGAATCTGCAGGCCAACCAAAATCACTGATAGTGCCTGATGTATGTGTTCGTGCCTTATCTTCCAAACATCTGGCAGTAGCATGCAGCAACGCAATGTCTAAATCCAGACTATGCATTATAACAAAACAAATTCATACCAGCAATGGACTAACATACCATGATAAAAGCATTACACTCCAGTCGCATCAAAACACCCATGCTTCATCTTCTGAAAGCACCAAATGTTCATTATATTGTGCAAACATTTAATCTGTTTACTGTGTTCGTTAAACCCTTTGTCAACCAAACTGAATGACAATGGAGCTTGTTTACAGGATCACTATTGCTTAATCTAGTCTAGTTTTTAACATTATTATTTATTCTTTCTTAAAGAAGGACCAAATTACCAAATAGAAAAAGAAGATCTTTCTAAATATCTTAGCGCTTAAAGTAACTCGAAACCAAAATCATTTCTTAGTTCCCTGGTCATATTAAATGCAATTTATCATATATAATTTGGCAGACAAAATTCTTGTTTTCCTGTAATTTTCCATCAAAATGTAATGGCGTTTGCCCACCTCTAAAACGTTTTTTGAGTTTGCATTACATCACTGTGCACTAGTGGGTTTGGAAAAAAAACGCAATAGTATCATCCCAACACCTCAACCTCTCATCAAGTGAAAATGCTTATCTATCTGAACGGCCTTGGAAAGAAAAATGAAAGACTTATATAAGAATATAAGAATATAGCAATACTGGCCACAGTGTAACATAAACAAGACCACAATGTATGGGCCAAGATCAAGGCAGCTATTCTTGGCTGTCTGTCGAGACTGATCCTTCTGATGAGAAGCTTCTCCTCTAACATGACCTCTGTCCTCACAGAGGGACTTGAAGCGAGACACAAAGGGACCTCTAGGTTAAAAAAAAAAAAAGCAAGTTTCTCTCTCTCAGCATAGTCAGCCAGCAAGGCACTGAAGAGGAGACCCAAATAAATAAATAAATAAATGCTATGCAGACAACACAGGAAAGAGAGAATAGAAACTATGAGGAAGAAAGAAAAAAAGAATAAATTAATGGATGCAAAAGGAAACATCCAGATGGCTTGTCTAATGAGGCCAAAGCTGCCCAGCTGTGAAACAAGCCGCCTGACAAATCTAGAAACTGAAGAGAGACAAGGCTTGAATCAAACACAGACAAAGCAGCCAGCTGGGGGGGGTTACTTCAGCAGGGGGGGTGTGCCTCCATAGCTATACATTTTGATTATTATTATTAATGTGAAATATTTGGGAAAATTGTTTACATTTTGTACCAGAACTTCACAAATAAGCACTTTAAGGACAACCAAAAAGAACATCATTTAATGCATGCTGTAAAATCTTTTTCAGAGTATTTATTTTATAGTTACATATAACAAATAACTCCAGCATATCAAGCCTCCATGAGTAGTAACTTTCTGAGTGACATAAGCAGAGACTCACTGGAGTAAGTGGTTAAAAGCGAAAAACATCTATGGTCCCCTTTTGATCAGTGCAACAAAAATCTGTCAGTAGCTGAACAATGAAATGTCCTAAAATAAACAATAAATGAACAAATAAACATTAGTATATAAAACAAAATTCGGCACACACCACCCACACCTATAATTCCCATCAGGGACATTTGCCAAAACATCTGTGATCTGATTGGAGAGCCAGTAAAAAGGTGTGCTACAGCATTTTTCAACATAGTTGTTACAGAAGTACCTGCTAAGAGAGACATGCTGATAATTACCACTGAAGGTGCAGAGATAAGGTCTCTTTAGCAAAGACCTTAAAAGACCATTGAGAATTTGACTTTATCAGTGAATTAGGCCGATCAGAGTCATGTTCAGTGGTACCTTTCTTTCTCCACCATGGTCCCTCAGGAACAGAGTAGGAGAGGTCTCTGAATTCGATATTGACCGCTGGTCTGCGGGGCAAGTAGGAGAAGCGCTGGGCCTCAGTCAGGTTGTTCTCCACTTTTTTCAGGTGTCCATGTAAAAGAGGCGTCTGCGGGCTGCCAGTGTGATTGGCCACTACATCGTCAATGGACACACACACTGTTCTTGGGTCCAGCATGAGATCAGGGGGCCCGTTGGTATTCTGAGACACGAAAAGAAGAGAAGCTATGTAATGTACTGCAACGAAAAAATGTTTGGTACAAAATGGGCTCCTAAATTTTTTTTTAAAAAGGACAGGAACAAAAGAGATTTTCACATAAAAGAGGAATTATTATACCCTTAAAATAAAGATGCCAAAGGGTTCTTTGGATCAATGCCAAAAAAGAACCACTTTTGGTTAACTTAAAAAGCTTTCAATGGGACGTTAAAGAAACCTCAACTGAAACTACTTAATGGAAAATTCTTTAGAGCAGTGGTTATCATCAGAGCCTGCAAAATGTCCACATGTGTCCTCTGAGTGTTGTGAGTCTGGGGGGTCACTGCTTCAGAGAACCAAAAATGACTCTAAAGAACTATTTTTGGCACCTTAATTAGATGGGAAGTACCTCATGGACCTGGCTTGTAACTCACTCACCCATTCAATTCCTTAAGTTTAACAAGAATGTCCACAAGGGGAGCTACTGGCTACCAGCACTTCTGTGTGCATCCAGACAGACCAGCAGGATGTCCAATGTTTGCAGCATGTATGTTTGAATTTGCAAACCAATCTTTCCTTCATTATTGTAAGTATATTGATCTAATCGATCCCTACTTAAGTTTGCAAATGCAGGGAACATTCAGTGCTCCTGCTGCACTACCAAAGACTGTTTATTATGTTGAGCTTATTATCTAGGTTGTGTTAGCTAAAATAACCATTGTGGACACGTGAGAAGTGCGTGCTTTCTATGACTTTCTAGTGTCATTTTTTGTAACACTGACGTAATAGTGACATGTTAGTGTGTTGCGGCAGTACATGCGGAACAGAAGCCCAAATTTTTCCCTGACCATGATGTTGTCTTTTCTTCAACAGTACAGCAGAGAGTGTTAAAAACATACTTTTTATTATTAGAGAAATATATTTCTGTGTTCAACTTCAATACATTACATTTATTGATTTATTTATTTTTAAAAAACCCCAACTCACACAAATCAGCTGCATTATGGTGATGTCCACTGGCAAAAAAACAAACCAATAAAAACCAAAAATGGGGTAGAACACACTGGTGCTTCCCATCAATGACATTTTGTGTCCTTGTTCTTCAGAGTGTACTCCATATCTTTATGATGAGCATTCATGACACGAAACCCCTTCTTTATTCCGATACCAATATTTAAACCCTGAGTATCAGTCGATACAGACACAGGCCGATACTGAAATTTTGAATATCTTTTTCTGTCCGATATCTGATTCAGCAGTTTCTTGATACTGATAACCATCAATACTTATACGTCATCTCTAATTAACATATTTGCAAATGGATGACAGCAAAACAGACAGAAATCACATGCAGTTTCAAAAACATAGCAACCGGCTGTAAGTTAAGCTTATACAAACTATACTATTGGACTGAATACTGAGATCCTTCTTTCTGTCAGTAGTGTATAAAACAAACAGCAGAAACATTACAATTCTGTACGTGTCACATTTCTTCAGAACACTTTCACACGTTCTACTTCTTGTGATTTCCAGCAAACATTAAAAACACAAACTACTCCTCATGTTGGAATATACTACAACAGTGCAGAACACACTCAGGGGAACGTGCACTGCTAAAGAGACAGTCTAATCCCTCTCCCTGTGGCCACAGAAGGCAGATGGGGTTACTATCGGACAAAGTTTATTCTGAGTCTGAAGAAAGCAGTCATGCAGTAGCCTCAAGACAGTCGCGTTTCACAAGTGCATGAATAGCATCCACTGCTGTATCCCAGGATGATAACAAGCTGATAATGTTGTTCTGTCAGAGTTATTCTGTGGAAAGTGGAGGTGGGCGATATGGCAAAATGTCATATCATAATTCTTTAGGAAGTTTTTATGATAGACAATATGTCACAATATTATTGCTGACAATTTTCTGATAAGTTAGAGCAGCCAGAGTAAGCCCACATTTTAAAATACTATCAAAAACTATAAATTCAATCATTTATAATCAACATATTATACAGTGTGCTGTACTAAATCTAAATGAACATGAATATTTATGCTCTCTTTGTAATCAAACACGCAGTTGGGAAGTGATTTCTAAGTACATATACATGCTCAGAAAAGCATATTGTGATATAATGTGATGTCATTTATCGTGATAAATATTGTCATATTGCCAGTTAAGCACATATACTGCCTACAGTGGATATACAATGAAAATAAACAAATTAATAGAACAGAACAGTATAAGTAAATTATGTAATAACACACTACAGGGCCTCATTTTTCTCTCATTGCCCCTTAATGACAGAGACAAATGAAACTATTCACAAACTTCTGAGGAGCATTGCTCCCGTGTATAAGAAGGTACTTAAATGTACAAACCCAAAGACCTCATCCAAACAAGGACTGTCCCTTGTCACATCAACGTGTGTACCACACGGTCTGATCTAATAAACACCCAAAAAACACAGAAGTAAACAAACTTACCATTATGATAGAGTTGGTCACAGAGGTGTTGTTGACTGAGAAGGCTGCCATAAGACATGCCATTCCTTCTGAGTGTGAGGCAGTGGAGTGGACCGTGCGTGGCTGGCCGCTTCCAAGCAATCTTGTGCATCTGTTTGATCCCTGCAGTCTCGGAGCTGCGCTGCTCTCTAACCTGCCTAAGACAGATCCACTCTGTTTACCAGCGAGCCGCTCCGGCTGATCGGGTGACGTCACTGTCTGCCCCCTACTGGCGTGTTGATGAACATGCTGACTGTCAGACAGGTGCCTGTGAAAATTTCATTCTGTTGCCAGAGAGAAAGTTTGTTGACATGTGAAATATAACGGCTTTACGTTTGCTTTGATTCGCGGTAATGAGCTGCGTTTGAGGCGTAAACTCGAGACTATAGCGTACATGTCGTTCTGAGTTTGGCAGTGAAAAAAAAAATAATTCGTTAATCCACAGACATTTACGTGTTTTACTGGTACTGTAGAGAAGCAAAGCCGCTTAAACATTGCCAGTAATAATAAGTTTCTTCAGGATTTGGAACCACTGCAACAGGGCTGGAATGCGGGACAAGCACACCAGCGTCCTCTAGTGGATTTTCTTGGCAATGAAGCTTTTATAAACTACAGTAACTCCTCACCTCCACAGACAGACACACAAACAAGCGACAAACTCTCTCTCTCTCTCTCTCTCTCTCTCTCTCTCTCTCTCTCTCTCTCTCACACACACACACACACACACACACACACACACGCTGACACGTGCATCACGTTAGTCCCTCTTTCCAGCTAAAGGGGAATTCCACAGAATTTTCGAAATTTTTGCGTATGTAAATTATTATGATGTAAACAAACTTGTTCAGAGTGGTTTCACGTCAAATTCACAGCTGTGGTCACATTCAAAACACATTCAAAAGATTCATGTCTGTGAAGCTTCCTAACAGAAAGTTATTATATAAAATGGTTATGAAATACGCTGCCATTGTTTGATGAGAGTTTGAGAAAAGTTTTGAGAGAAGCTTTTGGTCTAAAGTGTATTTTTTAATATAAAAATGGCTTATTGAAAATATGTCAACATTAAATACATGAATTGTGTTTTAAGTTACATAAAATGGACAAAAATTGATGAAAGTATATTCCAATGAATGAAAACTGTTTATTATGATCCAAAGACAATTCTATTCCAATAAAACCCAAATAAACTGCACTGAAAAGTTTCAATTGTGTTACATACAGCAGGGGGTCAATAATGACTAGGCCCACTCCCTCCTACCCCTCCCCTACGTAGATTGACTCCATCTGACAGAATGGCAATGTGTGGCATGAGTGAATTAAGTTCATACAACTATGTATTTTCTGAATCACCACAAGTGTAAAGAAATCAGATTTTCTATACAGTGCACTTCACACCAAAACACTCTGAATGACTTCAACAATTGAATTAGGCATACATTTTGAAAAACTGGTGAATTAAAGAATAGTTAAAGAATAATTAAATGATTTTATGTCTTCCAAGAAATCATTTAATTGCTTTATTACACAAATTTGCTCCCTGATGCCTGAGACTTTGTTTTATGATAATTCTGAAAAAAAAAGGGTTTTGCTCTAAAACATATTTTTTTTATTCAGGTCTACATTCAGATAAACGCAGGGCTTTGTAAGTAAAAACAGACCCCAAACTCTTTCAGATTTACCACTATTTTATCATTAACAATTTATAAAGTTCAGATGACTCACTGGTTGTTCATTGGATAGTAAACTCAAAAAAGTGGCTATTTGTGTGGCAGACATTGTGACCCGTGGTTCCTATCAGACCCACTACAATGAAATATAAGTCAGTAAATCTCTCTACAGCGCACCATTTCACATCTAACCACTCTGAATGACTTCTCAAGGACGGGAATTATGCAGAAAATTTCTGGAATTCCCCTTTAACAGTTCATTTGTTGATTTCTTTCTTCCACACACAGTATTATGAACATGTTAGCCATAGATGTACACTCTCACTGTCACTGGGGTGGTACCCCTTAAAGGTACCTTTAGTCAGGACTTGTTACATAATTATGCCATATTCCACTACAATTATATCTTTTCAAGTTGTATTGATTTCACATACCTTGTCTTGTCTCCAAGCTTTTTGTTTTATTGTTCTGTTTTAAAACATAAGGTCATGAAAAAGTACACATATGTACCTTTCCCCTGAGAAAAACCTGTTTAAGGTACACAGTGAGACCTCAAGTCTATTGTTATACCTGTGAGGGTATATTTGCGTTGTTTCTACTCTGATGAACCAAAAATATACCTACACTGTACCTTTTCTCTGACAGTGCAGGACCAAAACGTTCTTAGTTCAGTTTAGGTGAGCATGGTTTACCTCACCCCCCCTTTCCAGCTCGGATGCTTTCAAAAGCGTGTGTGTGAGTGTGCGAGGGGGTGGGGCTGGTCACAAGGGCTTGCATGTGCCTCTGTTGCTGCAGCGAGTTCTGAATCTTTTTTGCTGACAAAGCCCCTCGTCCTCCACAGCAGCACCACTACATGTTTATCCAGGAGTTCAAACTCGCCAACACACTTGCTAAGAGAGGTGAAATCATACTTCACATGATGATGAGGTGTCTATGGAGGGCAGGGGGAGGGAGGCCAACATTCATTTAGAATCATTATCTCAAACAAATGCCTTCAGTCAGGTTTACAGTGTGAAATCCTGACAGCGGAGGTAGACGTTAGTGCCAAACCATATAGATTCTAACGCTGATATTAAAACACTGATGGTCAGCATGAAACAGGATGTAATCTTTCAGTATTGTTGTCCTTGCTACACGGTTACCTCTGCTTTCTCACCTGAAATGTACTTTCTAAACCCTTGGGCCAACATGCTCTCAACCTGTATTATACGTAAGAATGCAGCAAGTGATACGTAATAAAATGTCTGGGTGAAGCCAAAAGTTGTTGTAAGTGTTACATATAGCAGGGGGTCAACATTGACTAGGCCCAATCCCTCCTACCCCTCCCCTCTGTGGGTGTTGTAATAGTGTATAAATGGAGGCTGTTAGTGGGCAGCTACCAAGCCTGAGATGATACAAGGTACAGTTTGGCTAACAGCATGAGGGCACTGGGATTGCTCCTTTTCACTCTGCTGCTGCTGCTGACAGCTGGCCAAGGTATGATATAACCTATTTGTAGTAAATTAACAGATCATAGGTCAGTCTAGAGTAGTTACCGCTCTTTAACAAAGAATTACTCTTAACTTCTACTATTTTCTAAGCATTTGGAACAGGAAAATTCCAGTTTGTTAACATTTTGTTGGTTATATTTCTTCAGCAGAAGATATAGACATCCAAGGTTGGACATGTGGATATCGGGGGCTCTGCAGAAAGCACTGCTTTGCCCAAGAATACATGGTGGGCTACCATGGCTGCCCTCGCAGATACAGGTACTATACAATAAATACAACTTTTAAAGATTAGATTTACATTATGCACATTACACACACACACACACACACATAGTCTAAACCGCTTATCCCCCTGGGTCGCGGTGGGGTGCTGGAGCCTATCCCAGCCATCATTGGGCGGAAGGCAGGACACACCCTGGACAGGCCGCCAGTCCCACATTAGATTAACTCTACAAAAAGAGAAATGCACCAAAATATCCACACTGTACTAACCCTGTTAGCTAATTTTGAAAGTCACTTAACATTTAACCCCTTAAACTACACGGCTATTATGCAATTCTTAACCTAACTATTCTAAATTATTCAACTATTAAAATTAATATGTATGTTATGTAATTATGTGAGTTGGAAGTTGAAATTGAGCAGTTTGAGGGCTTTTTAAGCTATAATTGACTAAAACATGATCTAAACAGCTGTACTTCTTATTTCCAGGTGCTGTGCTTTGCGATTTTAACCCTGAATTTGGTTCCCGCAAGAGCATTCACTTAATCTCCTCATATACAGAATGCTGTGCTGATTTACAAAACTGTTTTTAACTGTATTTTATTCATGTTGTAATGAAAACATGCCTTTCTCTCACTACTTATATATGTACTATGAACTGTACTTTGCAAAAATTGCCAAATATATTGTTTGGTGGATTTAAATTAGTGTTTAAAAAGGTGTGCCAGTTTTGTTTAGGGGAGAAAACATTTGCAATAATACAAATGTACTGTAATTGGATTAGCACAGTCAAAACAGCTCAGCTCATGCCCTGCATTGTGCACGTGCAGGACAGTAACAAAGCTGACTGACCCACATAAGCTTTCACTGCAGAGCCACTGACCCATTAGACCAAACTCAAGTTCAGCATCTACTAACACAACAGTGATACAACTGAATGCTGAGGAAATGCTGTAATAAAAGATGTTAGAATGAAATGAAACTGATGTTGGACTGAGTACATTTTGACAGTAACTGGACTGATTGTTAAACCCAAGAAAACAGACACTACCAGTTAAATGTTTTAGAACGCCCCCATTTTTCCAGTTTTTATTGACATTTAAGCAGTGCAAGTCCAGTGAATAACCTGAAATGGTACAAAGATAAGCAGTAAACTGCCAAATATTAAAAGACTGAACAAAAAAAAGAACTGAAAAACAATGTAAATTTCTTATAAAAAGGGTTATAAAAAAGGCTTTTTCAGAGAACAAGTTATTGGTTGACAACATACAGCTGTTCTTCAGCAATGGAAGTGAATTAAGCTTTGAAAGTTGAAGCAAACAGTTACTACAAGGGTCCTAACTTTTGTTGAACATATACAAACCCTGTGTGTATTAAAGCAGTGTTAGGACAGACTGAGCTAATAGACCCTCTAGGGCAGCATTTGGACAATACTGCACTACAGAATGTAGTATATTGCCATTGTAATGAGCAGGAAAAGGCAATTAACAAAAGAAAACAGATAGACCATTATAACCCTTAAAGGTGTAGGTCTTTAGCAAAATTGCAAAGAAAGTCAGTCGGAGGAAACTCTGATGGGAAGAGGTCTGGCAGGCCTAAAGCCCCAGCAGCATCAGAAGGCAAGTTTCTGAGTCAGCATCTTGGCTCACATGACAACACCTTGACACTGGTCGAAGAAAGCAAGTCTCAGTTTCAACTGTGCACGAAAGACTAAGAAAGCCATTGCTGAGATGGCAGAAAAAGAGGCTTTCCAGGGCCACACAGGCTCACACTGGCACACACTGCTAGTGAACTATTTAAGACTGGAAGAACCCTTACAAAAAAGATGGTTATTTAAGTGTGCTGTACACTTCTTTTAGACTGAAAATAAGTAAGCATGCTTTCAGCATACCTTAATGGACTTAATGGACAGATTTACTAAACAAAATTACAAAGTATACTTGGCTTATACTGATGAGTATACAGAAAAGTTTAAGTATATTCAGCTTGTACTCAATCTTTTATTTAAGATGTACTTAAGAAAAGTATAACTAAGTATTGTTGCATAATACATTGTTACACTACATTAGCTTGTAGTTTGGATGGAATAGCTGTAAACAGTACTCAGAAGGAACCGAACCTGATCTTTTATGTACACAGTGTTATTAGCCCTCACAAAAACAGATGGCTGACTTTGTCCACTGGTTGTGTTCATATTAGTTAACTTTAAGTCTATTTAAAGTACAGTTAAAGGTACATTTAAAGTATAAAAATATTACCTAAATAGAGCCCTGGTAGAATACTGTAAAGTACAAGAACAGGACATAAGTGGTAAACTATAAGTATTATGTTAAGTCCATTAAAAACAATTAGAAGCATACTTGAAGTATAAAAACTAGTTTACTGAGAGTCTACTTAAATGTGTACTGTCATAAACTAGAAAGTATGATGTAAGTATTGTGAGGGTGGAGAGACAGAGCTGCCATGACTATGCCCCCCACACACAAGTGCGAGCCACTCTTCTCCCTGATCGGGGACAGCTGAGACCAATCAGGGAAGGAGCAGGGACACTTTAAGAGACTGGCTTGCTCAGCATGGAGGGGAGAGCGAGTCTGATCTAAAGACAAAGAGAAGGAGCTCGAAAGAAGTGAGATAAGTTTAGTCCGGTTTGTGTTTTTGTTCACTACTGTACTAATAAAGAGCTTCATGTTGCTTCATGTGTGCTGGTTTGAATGTGTGCGTCTCTGCACCTCCATGGGCTCAAAGCCCAAGTGGCTCGGTCCCACACCATCCTGCTGCCACAGTATGTAACTAGCAAACTAATAGTATACAGTATATACTAACAGTAAGTTCACTTTTAGCATAGTTCACAGTAGAGTTGCAGTACAAAATAAAACTTATTAAAATAGTTGTGTACTCAAATTTTACTTTTACTCTTACACCTAAAGAATACAAAGTAAGATCTAGAAAGCTCTCTGAGGCCTTCAGAAAGAAGGTTGTAGATGCATTTGAGTCAGAGAGATTTAAAAAGATCTCAAAAAAAGTAGAAATCAGCTATTCCACTGTCCAGAAAATAATTTTCAAGTGGAGAACATTTAAAACAACTGCCAAAGACCTGACTTGTGGAGTCAATGCCAGCTAGAGTGCACGCTGTCATCAAAGCAAAAGAGGGACATAAAAAAAAAGATGCTCTGAAATTCATGTAAATATGTCGAAGACACTACTTTTCTCACTTCTACTGTTGGTTTTGCAAAGCAACAAAAGCTTTAATCACAAACATCAGATGAAAGAACACCAAAAACACATTTACAAATGCCTTTGCAACTTTATTTTATCACCTTTTTTTTTTTTTAAGAAGAAAAAGAACAGGCACATACAATGATGATAGCTAAAGCTGAAAAACTACTGACAAAACCTGCAAGTACTCTGTAGTATCCAGATGTCCATACAAAACACTTTACCTAGGTGTACAAGTTTAACCATTACAAAATAAATAAAATATGGTGTTTGTGATTACGCTGTTTAAACACTAACCCCAAAAGCATGCGCTCCTGGGCATCGATCTTCACACCTTTTTATGCTTTGAAGTACAGTTTCAGACATAAGGTTGGTTTTAACAGAAAGAACGGGTTTGCTCTGGACTAGATCCTTTAGGGATCACTTATTAAAGCAATTTAGTCCTGCACTAGACTAAACCTGAGACTATGCTATAATGTAAAGACCTACAGGGACTGCACAGCCTGCACAGTACGGATGGATAATTTATATCACTGTTTGCCCTTTATAGCCAATAGAAATAAACACAGTACAATTCATAACAAAAAATATCTATCTGCAATTGTCAGAGCGAGTAATCCTATTCAGTAAGGCCCAGGAGTCTCTTAGATGTAAAAACTTCAAAGGGAGGAAAACTTGTTTCAGACATTCACTCCAATCTTTAAAAAGGCGTTGTGTCATATGTAGAAAATTTGAAGGGGAAAAAGGAATTCAGCTGCAGATCACTATCTACCCCTGTGTAAAGCAAGCTATAGACTCCATGGATGTAGACTGGGTAATACAGTTCTATGAAAATAGAAAAACTGTCTATGCACATTACAGATTATCAAAGGAAAGCAACTGCTATCCTGGTTCAACGTTTGTTTATGCACCATATTCAATGTTCTATCGAATATGCTGCCCCTCCCTACACATGAAGATCACGCCATTCTATCATATAAGGAGCCTCTGTAAAATCGTCTTACTGCACCTTAACAAAGAATGTCAGACACATTTACTCAAACTGAATGTTTTATAAAAGTGATGCTTACTGAAAATAAAATTGGACCAATGAATATACAAGCAACAAAATATACCATGAAGATCTTTATGCAATTTCAAAGCTGAAGAATAACCTCTCAAACACACAGGCCTGAACAACCTCCCACCCCAACTACAGCCTTTATTAGTGTGTTGAGGTCACAACACTGCTTGTACGCTCACACTTCACCTCAGCTTTACTTAGTTTTCTTTTCTCTTGTCAATGTGTCGTGAAGCTGCGAAACACACTTTTCATAGTGGTCCATCATCAATGTTCCATTTTCATCAAAGAACACCCCAACAGACTTTGTGAACTCAGTCTCCCTTGACTGCTTGGTTTTTCCATCTGTAAAGGAGGCCTTCAGTGTGTACTGGTCATCAAACCTACAGGAGACATTTCAATCCATTAGTGGATATTTGGCTTAAAAAAGTAAAAAGGTAGAGTGAAGGGGAACAAGTATACAGACACTTCTGTTTCTGTTATTTAATATACTTACATTTATTTTAACTTTATTTTTTTCTTTATTTAAAACTAAACTACATGTACAGACCTATACAAACTTTTGTATTGAACTGGGGTTAAAATATCTTGCACAACCCCATTTCCAAAAAAGATGGGACACTGGGCAAAATGTAAATAAAAACAAAATGCAATGATGTGCCTATCATTTAAATCCCATATTTCATTGAAAATGCTTCAAAGACAACATATCAAATATTGAAACTGAGAAATTGTATTGTTTTTTGAATAATATTTGCCCATTTTCAATTTGATGCCAACAACACGTTACAAAAAAGTTGGGGCGGGGCAACAAAAGGCTGGTAAAGTTGTGTAATGCTGAAAAAACACCTGGTTGTTAATTGGCAAGAGGTCAGTAACATGACTGGGTATAAAAAAGAGCATCCCAGAGAGGCGGAGTCTTTCAGAAGTGAAGATGAGGAGGAGTTCACCACTTTGTGAAAGACTGTACCAGAAAATAGTGCAACAATTCAAGAACAATGTTTCACAACGCAAAATAGCAAAGAACTTTTGCTTTTCATCATCTACGGTACATAATATCGTTAAAAGATTCAGAGGATCTGGAGAAATCTCTGTATGCAAGGGACAAGGCTAAAAAAGTATTTGCTGGCCATGAATGGCACTGCATTAAAAACAGACTGATTCTGTAGTTGAAATCACTGCATGGGGTCAGGAGCACTTCCGAAAAACACTGTCTGTGAAAACAGTTCAGTGCTGCATTCACAAATGCAAGTTGAAAGTCTAAAATGCAAAGAAAAAAACATTTATAAGCAGGATCCAGAAAAGCCGCCACCTTTTTGGGCCCAAGCTCATTTAAAATGGACTGAGGGGAAGTGGAAAAGTGTCCTGTGGTCTGACGAATGAACACTTGAAATTCTTTTTGGATATCATGGAGACTGTGTCCTTTGGGCTAAAGACCACTCAGCTTGCGTATTTTTCAAAGAAGGCCCTATTTCTGCAAGACTGTTAAACCACGTTCTGCATGTATTACAACAGCATTGCTCTGTATTAAAAGAGTCCGGGCACTAAACTGACCTGCCTGCAGTTCAGATGTGTCACCCACTGAAAACATTTGGCACATTATGAAACGAAAAATATAACACAGGAGACCCCAAACTGTTGATCAGCTGAAATCCTATGTCAAGTAAGAAAGGGGAAACCTACAAAACTACAGCAGTGTCTCTACAGTTCCCAAATGCCTACAGAGTTTTGTTAATAGAAGAGGTGATGAAACACAGTAGTAAACATGCCCCCGTCCCAAGTTTTTTGTAATGTGTTGTTGGCATCAAATTCAAAATGGGCATACATTTTTCAAAAAACAAAATTTCTCAGTTTCAACATTTGATTTGTTGTCTTTGTACTATTTTCAATGAAATAGAGGGTTTAAATGATTTGCACATCATTGCATTTGGTAAATTTGTACAACCCCGTTTCCAAAAAAGTTTGGGACGCTGTGCCAAATCTAAATAAAAACAGAATGCAATGACATGCAAATCATTTAAAGCCTTAATATCTAAGTACAAGTATCTAAATACTTATTTCTCTTTTTCTATATGTAAAATAAATAAAGAAATACCTTTTAAGACTGGACGAAAGCTGCCAGATGTGGTCAGGGTCCATGCCAGCTGGGTCTTTTTGAACGGCCACGAGAAAGATGTTCTTCTCTTTGTAGGAAGTATACAAGGTTAGGATGCCCATCATTATAAAATATGTATTACGTAATTAAGGAAACAACAAAAAATAGGACAACAAAAAAATGAACATTTTTACAAATATTCCACTGGTGCAGTACTCAATGAATTACACCGAGTTGGAATGAATTTCAGATTTTGATTGGGAATGCCAGATACCATATTTACCAGATATATGGTTTGATGTAAGATTAAGGTATGCCAGAGCAATTTAACGCTCCTCTAATTGGCAACAATAAGCATATTATGATTGAAGGCGCTGAATGAATGCATGAATGAATGAATGTAACCTGACACATGCAAATTTCACCATCACAAGGTAGTGATGCTAAGGTCTGGTCTAAAGTCAGTCTTCAAACATGCTGTTCTGAACGATGACAAGCATTTGTCACAGTGATAATTATACTGAACACTACTGCACTCATAGATGACAAGTGCAGAGCAGAAGACAAGTTTTGCACTGAAATACATCTTCTAGAGGAAAACTGGTTTAGCTTTCACAAAAACAGTAAATAAGGAACACATATTGTGAAGGATATGAAATCACACAACATGCCAGGACAGGTTTGGACTCTGGGAAAGGGTGTAGATAGTCCCAAATCAAAGCTACAATGGCAAAAAGGCAAGAGATGGTGCAAATGAAGAGACGTCCATCGACAAGGTTGAAGTTCTCAGCGTATCCATACTTCTCAATGAGTACCTGGCATCACAAAAGAAAAGGTTGTGAAACAGTGGAATGTCCCCCAAATGACTGTTAGTCAACAACAACAACACAACAACAACAACAACAACAACAACAACATTTTGCTTACCTTCTTTGCTGCATCATCAAGAGAATTTTTCACAGCTGCACCATCCCATTTGTCAATTTTCACAGGTTTTTCATCAATCCTCCACTGAAAACATGGAGAAATTCACACATTAAGGTGAGCTTGAGTTTTCAAAATACAGCTACTTTTCAAAATTCAGCATTGGTTTTTAATGAGCCACGACTGTTAAAGCAGCCTCCACACCCCACACTCACAAGCATACACATGCAATGAAACCGAAAAGTGTTAACAGGAAGTGCTTTTACAGTGGAACACAGCTGTGCAGCAAGTCTTAATGTTAATGCTGAACATCTGATATTTAAACATACATGTAAAGACATTGATCTTTGGATGTGGAATAGTAAGAGGTACATGTTGCTCACAGGTTAACTCTAAAAAGATCAACAAAAGACATTTATCATTCACTTTTTACCGTGAGAGGAGTGCTAAAAGCTCTGACGTTGTTTGAACTTAAAAAATCAAGTTACAATTACTAACATTTGTAATGTGTATCTTTGTGAAAAGGACAAACTCAAAAAGAAAAGACAGTAAAGTTACAAGAGAATATGGGGTTGGAGTTATTTTTCCCTCTATGCTGTTTTCACATAAACAGCTTTTTCACATTATACAGCCTTTAGATTATATGCAAGTTTGAACACCCTTTTAAGATGTTCAGGTATTCAAACCATGAGTGTGTCTGTGTCTCTGATTAGTAGTCAGTTTATTTGGATGTAACAACTTAAGTTACTGCCAGCTCAGCTGTTTTTTTCTTCTTATTGAAACTTTTCTCCTACATGTGAACATATCATTATAATAAAGTATAACTGTTTATTTCTTGTGAATGTTTATGCATTTTACAAGGTATTAGTTCCTTCAACTTAAAAACTTACAAACACTATAGCATGAGTAATAGCTACTCGTGTGCATGTATTTAACTCACCACACAACTTCAAAGTTTTTAAAACTTAATTCATTGAGTAAACTAAACTTAACAGAACTTACGTGCCTTTTTGTGCACAGAGCCTTAAGCAACAGGCTATAAATGAATGTCACCAATGTGCACAAAGACTCAATGATGCTATTTTCACCCCAAATTGCAAAGTAAATCTTTTACCGTCAGGCTACAGCTAAAGTTAAAACCGAGCATTTTATGAGAAAAGAACCCTGTTGAACTGAAGGTTCACTTGTTTAAAGCTCAGTGTTATATTCAGAAATGAGAATCTTAAATACTCTGCCTTTAGGTGTATAAACATATGGTAGGACATATGGTCATCACTCCAATCGTGCTCACAGTAGCGTTTTATACATTATAAAGATGTAGTAATCTAGTCATCCTAGCATTTCCCAGATAGCCATATACACAACGTAAACATCAGCGTATATTTTCAATAAAATTATCAGACCTCCTCTGGATCATCTGGCAACATGGATAATAAGATCAGCCAGCAAACCGTTAACTGCCACACAGACACGTAACCTAGTGCTACTCTCCCCGCGCAGGTACTGACACGTTAGCTACACGAACTGAGCACTTAAGAGCGCTTTAAAGGGGAATTCATTTTCGCGTTTTTTTTCCAAGTTTTCCAAATGATTAAACTGTTAAGATGCAAAAAAGTAATACAGAGTGGTTTAATGTGAAATGTGTCTTTTCAGAGACAGAATTGTTCACAGCAGCTGTGACAGCAGCCAGACGTACATTTACGGTTTTGCCCTAAACGTATTTTTCTGTCTACTAAGGTCTGAGAAGTACTGAGTTCTAACTATAGTAAAAGAGTCAAACAAAAAATATATTGCGAGTCTGAAGTGCCTGAGGCGCCACAATGCAACTGCTGCACCACTTAATGTGGAAAACCCGAATAAGCGGCTGGCGGATAGGAAGCCGAGCTTCAGCCCCGTAATTATGTTTGGGATGTGCCACTATTTATCCATGAACAGCGTTATATAGAGAATCTCAAAAGACAAGTGTAGGTCGCACTAGTTGTTCTCGATTAAAGTAAATTAAATTGCTTTATCTGCGTTGCAGACATCGCGGGCCCTGTTTCCTGCCAGCACCACTGCAAAGAAAAAAAAACTTAGCTAGCGCACCATTTCACACCAGACCACTCTGAATGACTTTGTTTACATCTCAGGGTTTGAACTACGCAGATTTCTTTTTAGAAAATCGGCTGAATCTCTCTTTAAACATGCATCCATCCTATCCAAATACGTCTATTTTACTTCATCATACAGCCACACAATCTACGGGTTTATAAGAGCTACACGGTTCCTCCGGCTGTCAGCGAGCCGAGCGTTAGTTCACCTTACTCCGCTCTCACGACCCAGCGAGGCAGGTCATAACGTTTGAATCAGAAAGGAACAGATCTCAAGACTCGTGTGAACATCGCGCCGCTGCAAAAGCCGTAAAACTGAGCAATATAATTAATAAATCTTACTTTTTCCAGCAAACCATTCTTTGCATTCTTCGCAGCCATCGTTCCTTCCTGGTCATTTGCTGTGACCTGGCTCACTCTGATTGGGCGCTCATACAGAGCGCAGCCGAGCGGAGGACCCGAGTCTGCCCCGCCTGCTGCCTGAACTGAACTCTCACTGCGGACTTGTCTTAAATAGAGCAGAATTTCTCTACTTTTTACACGTTTACGTGAAGACGAACCGTGTGCAACATATTTACCAGACATGGATAAATTACGATAAAATAAGAAAATGTACTCGTCTTCTATCATTCATATATAATTTGTAGTTATAATAGTAATTATTAATTTTAAAGTTGTAGCCTCAGTACAGTGTGTTTTGCTTTTTGATGTAGCATTATTTTTGACTTGACATCTCAGTGTTGCGAGGGGGTTTATAAAAATTAAAATGGCTTTTTTTGTTTTCATATATGTGACGTGTTGAACACAATACATCTGGCACGACCTCAGCATCGAACCGCAACTTTTCCCGCCTTTTCGCTCCGCTTGCTGCCAGAGGCAGCCTTAAAGGGACACTCCGGTGTTCTAACAATTTGTCCTACCCATCAAGTGGCCCTACTGAGCTTGCGCATAACATTACTATAGTATAGTAACTTAATGTTTCAAACGTTTTATTGTGTTTTTAATGCTATTCAGTACAGTAAATATTTACTTACTCCCTGATTTAGGCGATCAAAATATCCTAATTATTATTTTAATACTAGTAACGTTGTCTGATAAGGAGATTTAGGCTATCACATTATCCTACCTGTACATGTCACTGCTGGTAGCATTTTCTGATAGGGTGATATAGGCTATCAAAATATCCTAACTACAGTTTTATGTAAAGCACTACCTAACAATATGCGGTACAGTAGGACATTTCGACAAGGTAGCACAATTCATCAGAACATGATCAAAAACATGCTGGCTCAGATCCTACAGCAATGCCACGGAAGCCTCTACACTGTAAAAATTGCTTTGTCCATCCAATCTAAAAAAAATTGTAATAGTAAAAAGCAATTTAACAGGTTTTACTCAACTCAAAGAAATAATTTGAATGAAAAAATGCACAGAAACAGTTTAATTCAGATCAAGGAAGCACAACTTTGGTCCTGGAGGGCTGGTGTCCAGTTAAGGTGATTTACCTGTCCAAACACACCTTGTCACACTCATCTGTTAATTGCCAGGTTTTTGGGTGTGCTTGCACAGAGAAACCTCAAAGCTGTGCTGGACATCCTCCCTCCAGGACTAGAGCTGTGCACCTTTATGGTGTACAATTAGTAATGGAAAACAAACTCACTGACCAGTAAGAAAATGGTGTTTTCTTAGATATTTATCTTTTATTCACTTCGCTTAAATGAATAAAATGGTCAGAGAGAGTCCTCTTGGTGTACGTTGAGACCTTTTCCTTCAGTTTGAACAAAACTGACAGGGGGTTACAAGAAAATATCAACATGTGAAAATATATTGTAAAAAGAGATTTAAACTTCAGCCGAGCTGGATTACTAATTAAGAATCTTGAACTACAGTTAGTCATAAACCAGCCATATTATTTTGATTATCAAATTCTTATATCAACACCAATAATGTAAGTTTTATGAGATATTGAGTTCTTCAGTGAAACAACGCTTACATGGTTTTCTTGAGCACATTAAGAAAAGAAAAAATCTGCAAAACAACAAAAAACCCTTGTATTGTTATGCTACATTTCTTTCCTGCTTGTCATTCAGAACTGCTTTATAGTTTTTGCTAAACCGAGAGTTCACAATCCTGTCACCTAAAAGACCAAACGATTAAAATATTGTTTACAAAAATAAACAATGGGTGCATTTGGTCCTATTATTCGCATGATTTTCAAAGCACACACAACATTCTCTGAATGCAGTCTAACATACATGCCAAACATATCAAATACTTCTAACAGTCAAAGACCGGGCCAAGCCAAGACAAGCCAGGCTAATCCTTCACTTTCCGTGCATACATCTGCATCAAGTTTCCTTAACAGTATTATTTAGGACCTGTTATACAGTACTGACTAGAAATCTAGAATGTCTAATTGTACATTTTGTATAGACAAAGTGTACACAAAATAAATTCTTCGAAAGTATGAAGGGGAAAAACATGGTTAGATGGTCTGACTCAATGGCATAGATCAGCAAATTTGGCACATTTACAAAACGCCATAAAGACATTTTTCTATTTCTAGAACAGTCTACAGTGATGTATCGTTAGCAAGGTAAGCCTGCTCATATATAGTGCAAGTGTTTTTTCAGTAAAATTCAAGGATGTAGACTTACTGAGTACAACAGAAACCTTTTATGGTATGCACTTTCCAAAACAGTCATCTGTAGTGAATAATGTTCCAACAGAGAAAGAAAAGGAAAAAGGAAAAGCATAAAAGCTCTCAAATAATGTGTGCACAAATAATGCACAATATGGAAAAAACTCCAACTATTAATTGATTCAAAATTAAAAATTAAACCAGAAAAAAAAATCTCTTAAAGCAACATAAGATAATAACACTTTTTAACTGAGATAACAAATGAGGCAAGTTGGGTAATGTATATAAAGCTTTTATAGTGCTATCCAAATTTGGATAAAAGCACTGTATGTGTCTATTGGCCAGGAATTCAAGTCAGTATCATTGACATCATACATACTGAGCACTTAAGAAATATGGTTTGTTAATAAAAAAAGAAATGAAGAGCTAATTGTTGTTAAATTACAACCGATATTCAGCATTTCCATATTAGTGCCGTTCTGGATTTTAACAAAATAAAACATTAGATTTACACAGATAATATATATTGCATAAAGGTAGGCTATTCCTCTTCAAAGACCTTAATAAATCAAAATAACAGTCCTGGAGGGAAATCTTACTGCTAGTTTTTGATGGGATTTTAATGTCTTTCAGTAAATTGAGCTCTCTGAAGCAAAATATGTTGAGGGCAAAAGTTCCTGTTATATCCATATCATATAAAATTTTCAGATAAACTCTTTTTAACATGCAATATTTTATGGGGAGAAAATGAAATGACAAGCATAGCTAGTCTTCAAACATGGACTATTCCAAAACATATCTGCCCTACAGATAACAAGACTTGTCCTTCTGCAAGTTGCTTTTGTTCTCCCATCTTGATTTAAGATTTACAATTGAAGTGTTTGACCCTTCTAGAAATTCTTCCTGATCTGCGTGGATTATGCACTGTTCTACCATCTACAGAGACCCAGGACCGTAGAGAATATTTATCAGAACTTGTCTTATGCCTTTCTATAATCTGGCATTCTTTGTCATATTGTCTTTGTAGCTTTAGTGCCAGTTCTCTGTCCTTTCTTTCTTGATTCATCCGTCTAACATAGAAATCACTCTCCCCATGTTGCATTTCGCAGGCGTCACAACTTTCTGTCCTGGCTATTTTTATCTTCCCAGTCAATTCTAAATGTTTGGTCTTCTGGCTCCTCTTCTTGCCCTTTCTTGAGGTAGGTCTGTTGGGTACACAGCTCCTGACTGTGGACTCCTTCCTTGAGTCTCGGAGGTCCTCAGTACCCTGATTACAATGACTTACTCCAGCATATTTGTCAACCGATTTAAAGTTTCCACCCTGTTCAGAAGATGAACAATGTGTTTCACAAGCATTGCGTGACTTGTGAGTATCAGAACTCTCTAGTGTTATCAATGCAGGGACTACATTTACTGTTGATTGGGTGTCTCCCTCCCTGCTACACGGATCAAAAATCAACCGCCGTTTATTACTCAACAAAGACTTTTGCTTCTTCTTTCCATGAACATCTGTATTTGGACTGCAAGTGCATTTCTGACTTTGCAAGTCCTTCTCCACTGGAACACAACTGCAGGACTTGCTCTTCGCCTCTTCTCCAGAGCTCTGCTTGACTGTTAGATCGTCTGCCACTGGGCTGGTGATGGTGCCTTTGGATGTGACCTTGATGCACTGACGATCTACTTCAATCTGCTTCCACTTCTGCAGGATGGTGGGGCTGGCTTCATAGGTGGTGGTTTTTTGGAGGCTCTGGGTCAGGTTCCTTGGAGTGGACTTGACAATAGTGGGCTCCATTAGCCGCCCATCTGGGAGCCTCTTCGGTGGGGTGCATGGGGAGCAGACGATGGGCTTGAAGTGGTTCAGCTCTTCTGAGATGCTATCATTGCTCTCAGGGCTGATTGATCTCTCTGGTTTAGCGTGAGGCACTAGGGAGGTAGCAGGAGAGGCTAATATGGAGCGCCAGTGATGCCTCTTGTCAAGAGGGAGAACAGGTGCTGAAAAGGAACGACTGTTCTCAGAGGACAGGAGGATTCCAGCGTTGAAACTATGAGTAACTCCGGCCTATAGTGAGGAGAAACAGAACTTAGTATTGATGAAAAAGTGCAATATGTAAAATCATTTTTCTGACAGTGCCCAATAGATCATTTATAGAAACTCAAATTACTAACTATCTGGTGAAACTATCCAGTGTTAAGTGTAGTGTTAGGTTTTGGGTTGAGATTAAGGTTAGTGTTAGATTAATAAAATCTGTAACATCTACCTTAAAGTTCAGTTGCATTCAATAGTTGAATGTTAGATGAGGAAAAGATCAGTATTTACAAAGCATCTACAGTGTACTCTCAAAATAAAGTGTTACCATAATAATACAAGAATATAAAATAAAGTAAGATGTGTTACAAAAAAAAAAACACCGTTACATCACTTTCCTTTAAACACTAAACCATTTTGGGAAATTTTTGCCATTTTTCCATTATTGATTGAGCCAAACGTTTTTTTTGGGGGGTGATAAGTCTGGACTGCAGGCAGACCAGTTAAGTACCTGCACTCTTTGATTATGCAGCCATGACACATAATCAATCACGTGCAAGATATGGCTTGGCGTTGTCATGTTGTTATAAGCTAAAAGGCAGCATAAGTTGCTTCAAAATGTGTATATATGTTTCAGTGTTAATGGTGCCTTCACACATGTGCAAGTTACCACAACATGTTCACTAATACACCTCCACACCATGACAAACCCTGGCCTTTGAACTTCACACTGGTAACAATCTGGATGGTCCTGTTCTTTTTTGGCTTGGAGAACACAATTGTCTCATTTCCATAAACAATCTGACTGGCCAGACCACAATACTCATTTCCACAGCGCCATTTCAGATGAGCTTGAGCCCAGAGAAGTGATGAGACTCAATCCATCCTTGCTCATAAAGGATTAGGCCTTTCCTGAATGTCCCTTTTACACCTGATGCATTATTGCATCATCTCAACATTCCTAGTCTTAAACTGCTCTTGTCCTAGCTTTTTTTTTGAACCTCATACAGGCATTAATTTCAGAATAAGTATATTTGCAAAAAAAATTAAATAAATAAAAGTAAAAATGTAACACAGTTTGTCTCTGTACTGTTTTCATTAAAATACAGGTCAAGTGGATTTACAAACCAGTGCTTTTTGCTTTGTTTTTGCATTTGCATTTCACATACTGTCATAACTATATATAAATATAATTCATTATATATAATATAATAATAAAAATAACTATAATTTATCCTAATGTTCTAATAGATTCTAACTGATTAAAAAAATGATACAGATGAATTTCCACCTTCATATGAATAGTGCATGTTACACACCAATGTGAATAAAATCAGGACTAAAACAGTCTAAACTGAGCAGACTAGTTACAAGTGTTAAATTATGTCAAACCTTCTCTTGCACAGAAATGTGTGATAGTGCTCGGATTTTTCCTCTGCCTTCCTCAGAGTCAGTGCAGCTTCGGCTCCTTTGGACAACACTGTTCTGAAAACTGAACAGAGACAACAAAAAGGTGGAGAGTGTTAAAGGTATACAAAACCAAATTCAAGGCATGCTTACAAAGAATACTGGTTTAAAGTGGATTTCTGATTATGAGGTAAATGTGCATACCTTCTGCTGAACGCTGGGGAGAACCTTGTTTTCCGCACAAATGCTGATACATGCCTGGTCCTCATGCCTATAGGTTCTTCATTTTCAGAGTCTGACAGGACTCCAAAAGACTAAAAAGGAAAAAAACAACAACAACAAAAAAAAACATCAACATCAAAGGTCTCTTGCAGTCTTGACACAGTCATAATCTGTGTATGAACACTCAAACACTTCTATATATTCTGTCTGGGTATTTGGTCTGAAATAGTTAAGTATATATAACTTTTAGTGACTTGTTAAGTTTAAAACTCAGTTTAGGATACATTACACACAGCAGTAGCTCTGTAGACCAAACAAAGAAACCCTCTTGTTTTTTATTAAAGTAGCAGAAACAAAAAAAAGTGTAGAAACATACAGGATCTTGGAAGTGCAGCAATCCAGATTCTTCCTTTTTACAGTGAAGCATTTTTTTCTTCCTCTCCTCAGTTTCTTCATCCACAGTCACCTAGAAATACAACTCATTACTTCAGATACTGTTCATTTGGATTTTAAAACAAAATAATCTGGCCTATATATTACTTTATCAATGTTTTACAATCCTTCAGGTTTTTTGTTGTCTAGTTCCCTGGATATTCCCTATTAAAGCATTTTTGAGGCGTCTGAGGTGTAAGTGGAGAGACTGCTGGGTCACCCAGACACAATGCTTCCATTTACACTTTGGAAACTGACCTTAATCTTTTGTTTTTCATACTCCTGCCGCATTTCTCCAGCCTTAAATATTTGCGTTGGTGAACGAAAAATATCTGTGGGAGAGATAAAGAACATATTTAAAAAAAACAAGCAAATACAAAAGATGCAGGTTAAACAAAACTTAGCAAACTAAGCTTCTATACAGAAATACACTTAGCAAAACGGGGAACTTGACGGGTTGGCATGGACATCAACTAATGCAGAACGCATCTGCTTAGAAAATGGGCCCACTGTCCTCCTAGGAATAAAACTGATAAGTGTGGTTCCTCACACAAAGTGGTGCTGGCTCGCTTATTTACAGCATGTGCTTATTACTATCATTAAGTCTGTCTTGCTTCAGCCAGTGAAGTCAGAATGAAGAGCCAATTAAAAGTGCACTCTTGCCAGCAGTAAACATTTACTCACTACTACATCCATTGTAAACACGCCTACTCGTCTCCTGGTGTCACAGTAGTCTCTATAGTGAGGTTTTCTGGTTTAAAGTCTAGGAAAACCTCTATCTGATGATGTATCTTGAAGGCAGGAATAACTTTTGAAAAACTACAAGGGCAGATACTTAAGATCAGGCTTTAGAACCAAAGCTTGAATAAAACTACAGTAAAATAAAGTAAAATTCAGGCTTTAATATTTTCCACTAGCTGGCTAATGCAGAAGGAAGCCAGATGACTAACATGACTGCTAAGCAACCCAACAGCCTACAGATCAGCAGCTAGACTAGCAGTCAGGATTTCATCAGTGCAGCTTTACATACAGAATGTAACACAACACTGTACAAGTAACAAATAATATATAAGAAATCTAGGTCTGAATGCCCTTTTCAGAATAAAGTGTGTAGGCCAAGACTGATGTGCTTATTTATGTGCGATTAACCATGAATGTCTGTTAAAATTTGTTACATTTTTTCAGTTGCCATATTCCATGAAAACAACTTGGAAGGCGAGTAAACTCAGAAGAGCGCCCTAATCAGCACTGTGTTTTTTTCATTGTAGGAGGCAAAGTGACAGTACGCCATAACTTGGCCAGACGACATGATTGTCCCAGTAGTGGTCCACAGTACAGCAGGCTCTGTGCCTGCTTTCTGCTGAAGTCACAACTTTTTGGCCAATGTGGATGTAAGCAGCCCTCTGGAGGAGCAGTTGCCGCCTACATTACCTCCTAACGCTGGTCCACTAACTCAGGGCTCATCAGTGTAACGTTACTGTGCAGCAATGTAAGGACCTGAAAATGACGTAGTGTAACACTGGGAAACATATTTTGCTTCAGCGTCAATATGCCGGACGAATGCGATAAATAAGACAGGCTGTCCGACACATTTACCCGTAACGATTTCACTAAAACACTGTCAGATGTTTAGCGAGTCATTAGCTAGTTGGGCCCGAGCGAGTGTAGCGTTAACTGACCTGCAAGTGTTTCTGGCATGAACAGTAAACTTAAACCTTTCCACATCGCTTGTTTACATTACCTTCCCCAACCGTCGCTCCGTCTCTCTGCTCTATTCTCCGCTTGCATCTTTCTGGATAACTCTGGCGGACCATCTCCCACAGCTCGGTGTTGACGAGGCTTTTCTCCCGGGACTGTTTACGGGCCCAGCTGGACACTCGCAGCCGGCATAAAGGGCAGCACAAAGTGCTCAACTCCACTGTCCGCTTGAAACAGTGAAGGCAGACGGAGTGTCCGCACGGCATGGTGACGGGCTCCAACAGGATCTCCAGACAGACAGGACACCTGGCTTCCTCCAGAGTCAGAGACCGCACAGGTATGTGAAGCCTCGGCTTGTTCCTCTGCTCTAGTCCACTGGTGGATTTGGCGCACCCCGTGGCCGCCATTTTCATTGGTATCTCGCTGCTCGGTTTGAAAACAGTCCCCGCCCAGTTTTTTTGCATCAGGAAAGTTGTTTTTTTCCCACCTGTATTCCGACAAATTCCGCCTCCCTGCGCTGGGATTGGCTAATCGCGTCCCGCGTCCTTCGCTATGATTGGCTAGTAGTAGCCCGCGCTCTGCGGGAACGCTTAAGAGTATGAATTATTAGCCAATCCTTGCGCAGGGAGGCGGAGCATAGCGGAATACAGGTAGGGAAAAATAGCAGGGTAAAGTCAGCGACTGTCAACACGAATGGCCGTTTTCAATCACTGTACTTGCGCACTTAGAGTGACATTGGCTAGTAAGTCAAGTGCACTCCGAGCACACGAGTACTTAGGACATAAAGCGCCCGTTTTACAAGCATGATTTAAAACTGTATTTTTTGGGGTATTTTTTATAATAAAACTGACATATCACTGTTTTTTCACTTACACACGAGGAGACATACAGTAGTCTTTAGTTAAAGATAGACAAAATACACCGAAGTAAACAGCCTTGAAAATGAAAGGCGTTGACTATATGTTTGGGGCGGCGGTCATGTTTTGGATGCTGGGATGACCATGCTGGATGACCAGCTAAACCAGCAGCAGTTCATCACAGCCCAGCAAAAAACAGCTTAGTCCAGCATAGAATTCATGCTGGTCTGTGTTGGTTTGATCCGCAGGGCTATCAGCAAAATCCTCAGCTAAGAAACTGGGGAACATCTATGCTGCTATTTTCAGTTCATCTATTTTCAAGAGATGAAGCAATAGCCTTAATAGCAGGCATAGATGAGTTATTCTGTTTTAAGACATGTTGACATTAAATGAACACAAAAATGTGCACAAAAAGAGAGTTTGTGCAGCTCCATCCCTTCAGGGGCAATGAAATTTATAATGCATTCAAATCCCTCTGAAGGAATCTTACTTCTCATTTTGAAAATGTTCACACTCAAGTTATAATGTCAACTTCTTAGGTATCATAATAGGTATCTCTTAGATATCTCTGATGATTTTTCTAACACAGAGACTTTTGACATTAGTAACCATATAGGTACCACTTTGAGGCATTTGGCTAGCTCAGAGGTTAGCATGCCAACTTTTAGTTCCTTTGAATTCAGAAGGCCATAATATAATATAATTGAGAAAATCAGGTGTGTTTCACTATCAGACACACTTTATTTTTTAAGTTTATAATTTTCTAGAGTTTCTCCAAATACTAGTAAATTATACGGTGCATGATTAAAGGGTTTTTTGCATCATGAAAGGGTTCTTCAGAATGTGCTGTAGATGATCCTATAAAGAAACTTTTTGAAAATGGTTCTATGTAGTACCCAAAAGCATTTTTCTATTGTTACCATGTCAAGCTTGTAACAATAGCAGGACCCTTTTTGCTGCTACATAGAACCATTTTCAAAAATCTACATCTACAGCACATTCTCCGTCATTCTGAAGAACACTTTTTATGATGCAAAGAACCCTTTAATCATGCGAAGGGTTCTCTGAGTGTTCATGGTTTTTTATAACGCCTTTTTTCTTTTATCTGTTTTAAGAGTGTGTGTAAAATAATGGCAGTTTTGCTATGTGAGTGTGTTTTAAGCAAAGGTATGCAACTTCCAGGTTGAAACAATACTGATAAAGTGATTTGAGCAGTTATCCGCTGATAAAATGTATTATCTAGTGCAGTGTTTCTCAGCTCTTTCCTCAGTGTGTGCCCCCCAGACGGCCTACATTTTTCCTTCATCCCTTTGTGTTGTGAGTTAGTTTGAAGCAAAAATGTGGACTGTCTGGGGGGTCCTGAGGACTGGGGACCACTGATCTAGCGTATTATTTATTGATTGATTAGGAGCCGTGTCCGTCTGCCTGTGCCAGGGGTTTTCAACTGTAGTCTGGAGACCCTCTGACCTGCACAGCTTCAAGCATTTCCTGCTTTAGCACATCTAATCGAACTCATATAGGGTATGATGATTAGTTGGTGATTGGGGTCAGGGGGTCAGTGGGTCAGGCTGACAAACTGAAACAGGGACAAGTCAAACTGAAAACTGTTCAGGGTAGTGGGTCCCCAGGATTGGAGTGGAAAAAACATGTATAAAATCAGGGGACCACTGATCACTAATAATACAAAGCCACCACTAATAATACAAAGTGTATTTGTGCTTTTGCTTGGTATAAAAGAGTGCAGTGCTTCATTAGACGTATAAAAAACTGCTAAAGCATGTCATTGCTATTCCAACAAAACCATTTGTATCTATATTTTTGTTATTTTGCTAGTTTCCTTTACACTGTGTGAACATCTAATGAAGAATGAACCAATAGAAATTGTCCAAAATAACAACAAATAGAATTGCATTACATACAACTGGTTTTTTTTTTATGTTTTTTGCTTGTCTTGAAAAGTTACCATTTTGGAGAGGGAAAGTTGTGGCCCGACAGAGATGATAAGCAGACAGCGTTAAGTTATGTAGACTATCATGGTAAAATGAGTTGCTCAGTAAAATAAAACTTAGACAGCACTGCAGCTTGTTTTAGTGGTAAAGTTAAGGGATGCACTGATATAGAAATTGTGGGCTGGTGCTGATATCTGATATTTTCATGTACATATCTGCCAATAGCAATACCTAAACATTTATTAAATATAGATATTAGGATTTTAGATTTAGATTTTAGCACAGCAGCCCAGCATCAGCTAAACATTCGTTGCCTCCAGAGAGCAATAAAATAAATCAAGTATTAGTTTGCAATATCGGTTAAATTTAAACATATGTCCTGTGACAACACTATTATTGAAGCAATTATCTGCAGATACTGATGATTTCAATATCATTGTCCATCCCTAGTAGTGTTGCTTAAGAATGAATAGAGTTCATAGATGGAAGGGAATACTTTTAAACATTAGCACATCCAAAGACAACTGAGGTATTACTTTGGAAGTAATGGATGCAGTTGATTGTCAGATGAAGAAAATCAATCAGTATTGACTTAATTGTGTCATAAGTGATTTAATCAGACTGCATTGTGATAAACACAGTGTAAATCATAGACTTAATTAAGAAGTATATTCACATATTATAATGCGAAATTACATAGCAATATTGAACTATAAAGATGACTTGCTGTAGATGCACATTAATAGGTGAGCTGTGACACGTGACGAAACGATCACAGTGTGGAACATAGTCCCATCTTCAGAGAATAATATGGGAGACACAGCAACTGAAATAAAAAAGCAGCAGTTTGAGGAGATGATTTGAGGAAATTAATTATAAAACGATGTTGTTCACTTAGTCTGAAGTTAATTAAACATGCAGGCAGTTTTCAGCATCCAACAGCGACAGTCAAAACCTACACAAATCCTTTTGCGCAACCGAAAGGTCCAAAGGGCAGCTCTGTAGGCAGACACATTGGACGGCAAACTCCACTGTAGTTCGTGCAGCCCCATGGAAACACCACCGCTGCATTTCCTTCATCTGCCATGCAGAAAAATATGATTTTATTCATTGTGTGAAGGAGTGCTCTCAAAAAAGATGTGTAAAAACGTGTAAAACATTCTAATTACACAGACTCTAATTACTTAGCACTACCACTTTTATACAGTCGCATGCAAAAGTTTGGACAATGACATGTTTTGTTGAAAGTAAGTAAGTGAAAGTAAGTCAATACATCAGTACAGAGAACACACTACTGCACATTTTAATGTACAATTACTGTTCACTTGCTGAATGCAACACTGGGGGAAAAACAAAATTTTTACAAAAAATATGGCACATTTTATATTGTATGTTTAATTTTTTTCTATTTAAATTGCACTAAAATTTGCAATTTTGTTCTCTGTAGAGGATTAAATAACTTAACAGTCTTAAAGAAAAGTACTTACCGGCAATGACCATCATGACCAAAAGACATAAAACGATCAGCCTTTGATGGTTCATTCCTGCTGCTGGCTTTTCTTAGATCTGTTTAGATCTCAATGCTGCAGGATTTTTGAGCAGCTGCTGCATCCTTATTTCTAAAAAAAGGAGGAGGAAACTTAATGTGGGCACATTCTTGTGCTCCAAATGAAGTCCATTCACTCAGAAATTCAATTACATGTAACTGAAATTGAGATGAATAGGTCTCATTGTGCATAATGTTATTTAGTACCTTCATAGGTTTTCCTTTGGGAGGAGTCTAGTCATGGGACATCCTGGACTGAGAAAGCAGATTAAATTTGTTTCACTGGACTAACGGTCAGTCCAGCGTTACGTTTTACACCATTCACTGTTTTCAAAATCGCACTCTTGTATCTAACATTGGAAATTAGGGATGTACGATGATAACAAAACCATATCAGTATCGACATATAATTGTTTAAAAATATCAGCATCAGACAGCTGTTTAGATCTGATCAATACTTCAAACTGATATTTGTTGCTGTGTTTATTTTCCTCTGGAAGAGCAGAATGATGCTGGGTTCCTGTGCTAAAACATCTGCATTTGTAACCTTGCAGAAAGAAATGTTCTATTTCTCTGTAATGCTAATCCAGGTAGATCAGTTCCAATTTATACACTTTATGAATGTTTATGTTTCAGTATCAGTATTGGCATCAGCATCAGCAGATATGCACAAATATCAGATATCGGCAAACACAATTACCATAACAGCACCTCCCTACTGGGAGCTGAGGAACTTTAATTTTCTGTCAGTAAGATTCAGAATTTAAACATCTTTTTTCACTTTTCCTTCTTCCCTGCTAAAAAAAATAATAGAAATCATTAAATGTTTCTGGTGGTTCCTGGTGGTGTCCAATAGTCACCAATGGTATTTTGTTCTCCTGATGGGTTGATATCACAGTGTAAAGGATTCTAATGGTTTAACAGGTATTCTGGGACTGATACCAGATGCACTTGATGGTTTGAGTTTTGCTCTGTTTAGCCCTGCCATTTTGTGTTCTTGGCCCTTAAAGCACTCTCCAGGCCAGCAGGCGGCACTCCGCTACCACACAAGCCCTGAACGGCCCCAGAAGTACAAAGAGAAATCCAAGATATTAGAGAACGAAGACGTCCAACTCAGAGTGAGGTCCTCACTTACTCGCGCTGAAAACAAACCTCAGAACTACACTTTCAGCGAATATAATGCAGATTTATTTACGGAGACTGTGTAAAAAGTCGTTTACTAACAAAATGAAACCGTATCAGCCGTATCTACCACACTTAGAGACATTTACTCAACATTGAGCAGCAAGAAAACGATTCAAAGTTGTTTCGTCCGCTTGCGAATCTCTGTATTGATGAGCTCTCTGATCAAAATGGCTGCCCACTGTTTCACTCAAGTTGCTCCATGTTAACAGGTTAAAGTCTCTTTTTCTCCACGACGAAGAAGATCGAAGAAAATAGCGTTTGATTCTTGCAGGTACTGTGATCGTATACAAACGCTGTCATGGTTCCACTGTAGGTGTATAACTGTAGTTAAAGGTGTAAAGAGTTAAAGCTCAGGGTTGTTCATGGGTCTCTTCAAAGTACAGCATTTTACTGTATCTCCAATAGATTTATTAGTTTTATGTGTAAATTTTACAGCCAGTGTCAGTTTGAAAATGCTAATGCAGATTCTATAAACGAAAAATGCATACATTTGTCATAATTAAAATGTATGTGTGATGTACACCATGTGTCCAAACGTATTTGGACACTTCAGCTTTAAGGTGAACCCATTCCTGCAGCTCATATAGTCTCCACAAAAAAAGCATTGCCAGTAGGACAGAACGCTGTGGAGCGGCTGCAGGTGAGGCTGAGGTCACCATGCTCAATGACAAGTGACGACTAGAAGTGTAAAGCCCACTAGCACTGGGCTGTCAAACAGTGGAACTGCATTCCCTGTGGTGACTGTGCACCATCCAATACCTTTGGGATGAGTTACAGTAGCGTTTGTGATCCAGAACTAATCATCCAACATCACTACCCAGCCTCAATAATGCTATTGTGGCTGAATGCAATCAAATTTTCACAGCAGTGTTCTAGCATCTAGTGTAAAGACTAGGACAAACTCCCTATTAATGCCCCTGTTTTCAGAAGAAACATTGGAAGAGTAAGTGTCTCCAGACTTTTGGACATACAGCGTATATTAAAATTTATGTGTGTCAAAAACTTTTATTTAAAAACTTGACTTCTGTTTTGAAAAATATATGCAAATAAGTTGGCGTTGCATATGGGATACTCTGATATTGGAGTGTAATTTGTTTCAGTTTTAATTGTTAAAATGTTCTTTTATACACCTGTTTATAGTATAGTATTTATACGCCTTTCTGCCTCCCCACTTTCAGCAGGTTTGATAAAGTTGTTTACTGTTGTACTTACAGCAGGTCAGATGTACAAACCTGAGAGTCGAGATGTCACTTGGAAAGACCCCAGTCAGCGTTGTGAATTTGGGGAGGATTGCTTACCGAAGTGCCCTACAGATACAGCAGCATTATATTAAACAACATTTTGATTCTTCCAGCCAGATTCCAAACACTTTGCTACTCTGTGAGCACTATCCTGTTTACACTATCGGAATTAGGCGAGCGCAGTATCCGGCTGAAGAAGAGCAAAGACTGAAAGATCTGGGTGCAGACTTTTTCCGCGCAAATCGAGGTGGCCTGATTACTTTTCATGGACCAGGGCAGCTGGTTTGTTATCCCATCCTCAACCTAGGCTGCTTTAAGAAGAGCGTAAGGTGGTACGTGTGCGAGTTGGAAAGGACAGTGATTGAGATGTGCAGCAAGTTCAGGATCAAAGCTTCTACCTCTCCAGACACTGGAGTCTGGGTTGGAAATAACAAGATATGTGCAATCGGTAATTTGTTTTTGCCTTGTTTCACCTTTGAAAGTTTAGCTTTATTAACAGAACTGTAATGTACCTGCTGTCATATTTTTCAGGCATCCATTGTGGGAGATATGTGACGTCTCATGGTTTGGCTTTGAACTGCAACACTGAGTTGAGCTGGTTTGAGAACATTGTGCCCTGTGGCATTGTGGGAAAAGGAGTCACTTCGCTCAGTCGGGAGCTTGGACGTGATGTTACGATTGAAGAGGCAACTCCAGTGTTATTAGAGGCTTTCAGTAAACAGTTCAGTTGCGCACTGACAGAAGCTCAGAGCTTTAGTGATCACACACAACAGACTGTACATTGATAAATGTTGTACCACTTAATTGTAGGTGACAACACTAATCATGCATTCTGGCCTGTTTGCAGTTTTATACTACAGCGTCATTAACCTTAATAGAAGATTAAATGTTTTGGCAGAATCATGATGGACTTAACAGACTGCTATTTTATCCAGACTGTCCTGCATGAACATTTTAGTGTGTAGAACTAATAGTCTGTTGCCTTTTTGAATGGGGTTTTATAAAATCTTTAGATGCAAAGCACCTCCTTGACTTAGCTTGTAAAAACTCACTCACTCACTCACTCACTCAGTCACTCAGTCACTCACTCACTCACTCACTCACTCACTCATGTTTAGCAGGCTGAAGAATCTCCACAAGGTTAGCACTCAAGTAACATTTGGTGCTTCGCTTCAGTGACACTGTGGGTCCTTGTCTTATTTACTTTTATTTAATTTCTGTCTTTCATGTATTTGGCATATGACCATTTATCAAAATAGCTGTGTTAATGTATAATGTTTTCTATTTGGATAGGAAAAGACCAGATTATTTATTTACTCTAAAATCCATGGAAAAAAGCCAGCTTTGATTGCTCTATAAACACAGCCAGTAGAGTATAAAAGAGCAAATAAGAATACAGGCAACAAGCTTCAAGTTATATCTAAATATATGGCAACCATACATAATTTTAATTTTAAACCAGTTCTTCTAAACTCCTTTAAAGCCACAAATATTTTTCCCTGTAAAAAAACTGTTGTCAACATTATGGGCAATCTATTTAATGCTCTTTAATACTTAATGTAATACTCACTGACAAAAATAACACCAGTAAAGTTTCCTAAAATTTAGGAAACAGGCTGAATTAGATCCCTACATTTTTTTAAAGTACTACTTTAATCAGATCTTAAGTTTGTACATTCAGATAACTCTGCAAAACTTTTGTTTGTCTCTACATTGTATTTTTTCTCATGTTTTCCTTCCACCTTTTTGGAGTCTGCAGTCATGCTGGAAGGTCAACAAAGGTGCTGCTTCCAGAAACAACGTGGATTCTGGCCAGAATGTCAAGAATGATTCTCAAGGCCAGCAGCAGCAACACAAACATAAAATATTAACCATATTTCATGGTTTCTATGACATTGTTTTGGATTTATTAGTCTTATCAAACGAGAACTTTGCCACTAAAACTTTCTTCTGCAACATATTGACTATATATATATATACATATATGTAACATTTTATGTCTAAAACTTTAAGGGTGCTTTTGGTGAAAATAAATGTTTTAAAAAAAATAAAATTGTATGGCTTTTTAGAATAACTGAATTTTTCCATATATTTCAGCAAACATTGCTCATCGTCTGTGCTACTTGTTTTATGTGGCTTGATAGGATAAATTATAAGCAAACAGCTTTACCTGTTTGCTAGAAATGTTAATTGCACAAAACTATACAGTACTGTTCAAAAATCAGAGCCTTTCTTTTATTTAATTTCCAGTCAAAATGGTCATGAACTAATACAGGTTATTCATTTTTCAGCATCAGGAAAAAAACATAAAATATATTTAAAACTTCAGTTTTAAATAGTCACAGTTACACAGATTACAGTCATAGTTACACACATTACACAGAAGCCTCAACAATCAGTACATAATCAGATATTTAAGCATTTACTGTGAGCACACTGTTGCCTTCACAACTGCCATTCTTTTCAGGAGACTTGCTTTCAGTTTTTCAAAGAAATCTACAGGGACATTTTTCCACATCTCCAAAGTTCAGTCTTGGAAGTTGGTTGCATTTTCTGCTTCTCGCAATCCAGGTAATCCAAAACACACACAGTAATGTGCAGGTCTGGACTCTGTGGTGGTCAGTTCTTTGTTTCATTTGCAAATTTTTTTCTTACTATGTTTTTTGTCTATTTTCATTTTCTCAGTGAGGGCTTCTTGGCAGCTACACATCCTTTCAGACCCATAGTGTTGAGTTGTCCTCTCACAGTGGAGGGATGGACAGAAACATCTGTAGATTTTTTCAGATCTGCAGCAAGAGTGGAGCTTGATTTTCTCTTCTCTCTCAAAGATGAAAGCTTTAAGCACTGTTTATCTGATAGTGACTACCAGGTCTACCAGGTCTTACACGGTTGTTAAGAGTCCCATTTTCATTGTATCTTTTAATCATTTTTACTCCAGTTTTGGAAATTCCAGTTTTTCCTTTGTGTATTTAAATGGCTATTTTGACAGGATATTAAAGGCGGATATTGAAGGGGGTCACTGACTTATACACTGTACTGTACATTTTACAAAACTATATAGTATTTTGCATGAGGGGAATACCTTTGTCATGAAATGTCATGAGAAATGTTTTTCAAGGCAAACACCTCATTTAACTGGTACTGCAGTCTTACAGTTTTTATTTCTCTGCTAATTTAATCTTAAAATATAAACTATACCGAATATTAATCTGTAGTTTCTTTAATATATTAATACCATCAGGTTTCTTGCATTTTCAGCTCCTCCTCCACCACACTTTCTCAGTTTGCATTGAGATGCAGTATGTGTGGAGCTATAATTACACTTGGAGTAGCTCTTGGTAAAGGCACTGCTTATGTAAGCATGATTAATTCTCTGTCAGGCCTGTTGAAATGGCAGCTCCATAGCAGGACTGGCCATGATTTATTGGTCTGATTTTATCATGGTGGCTGCTGTTGTGCAGAATAAACAAGCAGCACACACTCCAGTACTGGAGTCCTTTACATATTCCATCATTTTTAGAGGATGTGTGTCATCAAATAGAACACGAAACCCAAACTGCATTCCATACCAAAATATAACCTTCACTTATGTGACACAAATTCATGAAAGGATATATTTCTTGCTGTGTGCAGTTTTCCATGTGGCATAATAATAATAGGGTTTAGGCTCAGATTGCCATTGTAACTAAATGTAATAAAAGACTGAGAATATTTAACACAATCTAGTCATCTGTTAAATTGCTACATCCTTTCAAAAAGAACAGTGGCACCTTGGTGACAGGAATACAGTCGTGCGCATTTACAGTCTTTAACCACTGGATGGTGGTGTTCTAAAGCTAATCTGTATCACTACAACCATACCTATGATTTTGCCTCTGTCTACTAATCATCACTCTTTACAATGTGGATAAAACTATAAATAATCTGATCTTCAAATAGCCATAGCTGTAGACTTTACATCTCCATTGTACAGTGGTTAAACAATAAAACAGAGAAAGACTAAAATGTCAGTTGGAGTTTTTCCACTCTTGTTGAGCATGCAATGTGAATTCTAAAGGTCAGGCCTGGCCATTGCTGCATGTGGTGTGACTATTACACGTGCATATCTACTACTACACTATCTACTCAGGCTGCATGTATACCATAAAGAATGATGCAATTGTAACCTTCAGACTCTTTTCAGCAAGTGAATATAACTCTTATGTAAAAAAAAAAAAGTTAATAATAAGTTATAGCCATCATTAGTTCTGTTGTAAACATTACTTGTAGCCTAGTGATGCAACAGTAGAATCTAACGTGAGATTTTCCGGTTTTAAAAACTACAAACCCGCTTCTGATGATGTCTCTCAAAGGTGGAGGAAGAACATCTGAAAAGCTACAACTACTTTGGGGGGGATTTTTAGTGGTGGGGTGCTTTGATATATATAGACTGGGTTACTCAAGTGACAGAAATGACTTCTTTGATAAAAAATAAGCTAAAAGCTATAGTTAGCAAGGTAGCTATCTGAATATCTAGATACCTTACTTTTTGGCTTCTTTACTTTGGCTAAAAGGGTCCATTTTGTCCAATCAGTGACAGAGGTAATGCTAGCTTGGTTGAATTTATCAGCCTATAGAGCCATGTCTAGGCTAGCAGTCTGTCAGGATAGGTTGATACTGCAGGGATTCCCAATGGTTGAATGATGTGTTTGCATAATGCATGCTGGGTATTGTAGTGAGAGAACACTGATGAATGAAAACTTATGAATTCTGTCAAACCAATGAGGCTGAGGAATGTAATGCTGTGCAATAATGTGACAAATCACCTAATAAGCTGTAGTTTTAGGCCTGAAGGCCCCCTTAAGGAGACATATAAGATGTGATGCGGGATAAAATACAGCTGCAAGCTATAGTGTGAAAAAGAGCTGACTGCTCTTAGTCTGAAAGTGTTTCACATGTCTACCTCCATGATTGAAGATTTTAAGTATTGCAAAAACATTTACTGTGGATCATACAACACTAACACCATCAGCCAGACACTGATAGTAAAACACAAAGACTATATGACTATAAGAGGTATATTTCAATCATGATGGCATTTATATGTATAAACACTTTAAACTTGGTCCTGGAACTTCCTAGCCTACATTTTAAACCCAGACAGTGCTTTATTAGCTTTATAAATCTGATATGATAGAGTTGCCACCTGTAACCAAAGCTAGTGCTAATACCTTGGAAATCTTAAGGGGGCTTTCTTTAAGAAAGCCAAAGGAAGCTTTCCAACTACTGGCTGCTCCCAGTTGTGTGTTTTCTGTGAAGAATGGGCCAATTTTTCACTTGAAATAGTTCAAACATCCATAAAAATAGTCCACAAGGGACTGGAGCTGCTCTGAAGACAAAAAAGCAGTTCAGCTCCTTATTACTGATACAGCTGTACATTGTGTGGTATTTCCATTGTCTTATCTGGGCTTTTGTTTTGGTTACCGTGAGAAAAGAAAGTGGCACTTAGAGCGGGTAGTTACGAGTAGTCTGGAAAAAAGTAACCTTACATATATTTTAAATGACCTTACTGTAGCTTGGCAGTCCTCGTGAATCTTCTAATGGCACTCGATCACAGTGACTGGCTCTAATTCAATATCAAACAAGCATTGTGGTGTCCTACGGTCATAGGGCCTATGTCCAAAAGCCCACCATGACAGTTAGTTTAGCAGAAGGGATTTAATGAGGCAGGCAGTGTGAATAGGCCAAAGCAGCAGTCATATAGCAGAGTAAATGAGATGACACTGTTACCCTTGTTCACTCACTGGCCGCAGGTTTCTCTCTGTCTCAAAAGAACTACAACATCTGGGCTGTAATTTTTCAATGAGTTGAGATAATTGCAAAAAAAATCTTAGAGACCCTGAGACGAATTACTACCCCGCCGA